GGGCGTTTTAGAAATACCGTGATGAACCAAAAACCAAACCTCATCCACAAACCCTCAGACTGGATGCAGCCCCTTGTGGAAGGGTCTGGAAGCTAGGAGTCCAGGAGCTGTCCTTTTACTCACACGGTTTTGCGCACAATTTGAGGGGATTCACAGACCCCACCACCCCACTGAGCCCGTTTGTGGACCTAGACTTAGTGTCTGATCGCACGGGGGAAACAAGGCCCAGGGAGAAAAGGGCCTAGCTGCAGGTGACACTGGTGGCCGGGAACCAGGTCCCTGGAGATGTCGCCAAGGCCTGGCCTTGGGAACCCCACCTGCTTCCTCCAAGCCCAGGCCCACACACAGCCTCCACGCTGCTGAGCTCCTGGCAACCTTCAGCTGCCCCCCCCTGCCAGCTGTTGCCCCACACCAATCCAGTCCGTTGCCAGCACGTTTCTCTGCTCGCACTGGTGACTCCATTTGCCTGCGCTCCAGATTCAAAGCACGGCCCTGTTTTGTGTACCATCGCAATCCCCTTAGCTGGTCATGTCAGCAGCCCTTGCTGCCATTCCCCCCTAACTCACCCTTTCTCTGGTGAGTTTTTCTGTAACTACACCTGTCCTCAAGTCTAGTCCAGCAATTCACTCACTGAGCACTTCTGTTCAGCTGTGCTGGGCCGTGCTTAGGGACACAGCAAGGGTAGAGAGCTCTGGCCCTGCCCTTGCAGGGGTCACAGTCCGTCCTCAGTAACAACTCAGAATGAGCCAGGTTCGGATAGGGGAGCCCAGAGAGGCCACCCAACCTTCTCTGGTGAGGGGCAGACAGAGGGAGGGCTTCCTGGAGGAGGGGACACCTGAGCTGAGGCCACAGAAGGATGAGTAGGAGTGAGGCAGCAGAAGAGAAGATGATCCCAGAGGAAAGAGGAGCAATTGCAGAGGCCAAGATACACACTTGCATGGCCTGTAATCCTTGAGAAAAGCGTGGCAGGGCCCCGCCCACACCAGGCCTCCTAGGCCAAGTGGTAGTTTGGGCTTGATCTCTTGAGGGCCTCTGGGAGGTGCAGGGTCAGGCTGAGCTTTCTACACGTATGGAGGGTGGATTAGAGGGCTGAGGGGGAGGTGATTCCAGAGGCTTTTAGGCAGAATACACAGGAGCCAGGGCTGCCTGGAAGGGAGGAGGAGGAGGAGGAGCTTCCTCAGTGTCTGGCCTGTCCTCTCTGGCACTTTACTCACTTAAACTGTCCTCTGTCCTTTGGCCTAGATACCCACCCTATGCCCCAGCCAGCCTTCTCCCCGCCTGTCTTCCTATACTGCTTCATCCTCCCCCTTTTCCTTATGGGGCCCCCCGCATTTCTTATAGGTGCCCACCCCTGTTCTCCGTTAGCCTCTCAAGGATTGGGGGCCTTTCTTTTGGCTCAATAAAGACTTCCTTGTTGACAGACTCACATGGCCAGTGGTGTTTGGGGAAGAGGGTGTTCAGAGGCAGTTCGTGGGGTCCCATTAGCACAGTGGATTGGAGCACCGCCTCTCCCACTGATTTCAGGGTATCAGCCCACTGCTGAGGGAACAGACCCTAAAGCCTTCGGGGTGCTTGCGTTGTGCCAGTCCTTGGGCCCTGGCTGCTGAGCTGGGAGCCTATCGGATGCCCAGGCTTCCTCCTCTTGCCCCTCCCTCATTACTCGGGTTGTCCCCTGCAGACCCTAGGTTTGGCCCCCCAGCAGCAGCACCAGCCTTGTGCCCTGATGAGGGTTGAGAGTGGGCAGTCCCTTGGCCAGCCTGCTGGTGAGGGCCATCTATCTTGTCCACTGTGGGGGCACTTACAGAATTTAAAGCAGCCTTCCTGTCTAGTAGGGGTGGAGGTGCCATGCTGCCCAAAGCCAGCTGGAATGGGTGCCCTGTGGTTGGCAACATGTCTTTCCCACCTCAGCCCTTCCGAGGGTTATCCCCAGAGAGAAGGGGCCAAGGTCTACCCACTATGTCCAGTGTGGGGCTTCTGGAGCTGGCCATGTCTTTCCTCTTGGGACAAGCCTCCAGGCTTTTGAGGGCCAGGCCAGTCAGTGTCCCCTCAGAAAGAGACCCTCTGCCGGCTGGGGGAAGTCTTCTGTTTCGCCCCTAGCTTCAGCAGCGGGCTGGGTCTGGCCTCGTGTGCACGGGCAGGAAGTGGGTGGTGGAGCTCCCACCTCCCGGGGGCAGCCGGGCAAAGAGGACAGGCCCACTCTCCGCCTCCTCGCAGCCACCAACCTGTGCTTTGCGGAGCGGAACGTGTACACGTCGGAGGTGCTGGCCGTGGTGATGCAGCAGCTGATGGAGCAGAGCCCCCTGCCCATGCTGCTCATGAGGACCGTCATCCAGTCCCTGACCATGTACCCCCGCCTGGGGGGCTTCGTCATGAATATCCTGTCCCGCCTCATCATGAAGCAGGTAACCCGCCCCGACCATCCAGTCCCCCCAGCAGTGGATTGACTGCAGCAGGACACAGGAAAGATTTGAGGCAGAACTGCAGGCTTTTCCAGCCTGCCTGCCTCCCACCCTCTAGAGGAGCCAGGGTGAGGTGAGAAACCTAACCCTTTGCCCTGCCCTTGGCAGAGACAAAACAGCGCTCCAGGGGTCGTAACTCAGGGACTGGGTAGCGACGGAATGAGTGGGGGTGGTTAGGTGGTAGGACCAGGCAGTGGACTTCAGGGGTGCACATCCCAGGAGCGGCATGGCTGCTGCCCCCCACCCCACCACTGTGCACTGTGGGTTTTTAGGAATACCACAATGAAACAAAAAACAAACCTCATCCACAAGCGCTCAGACTGTATTAAGACCACAGGTTGCCACTTGGCAACATCTGGCTTAGAGGTTAAATGTAGATTCACACAGACCTAGGGTCAAATCTTCGATCGGCCCGGGTGTGACCTTGGGCAAGTCCCTGCATCTCCCTGGGCCTCATCTGTTTAGCAGGGTGAATGGCGCCCCCTGGAGGCTGCTGTAAGAATGAAATGAGAAGGCTCACAACACAGCCTGGGCCTGGCCCAGGGAGACCAAAGTGAAAAGGCCACTCTGTTTTCTTCTCCCCAAATTGGCCTCATGTCCCAGCTGCTTGGGATCTGGAAGAGAAAGTTATACGATCCTCTGTCGGGAGGTCAGGGCTGTGTGTAGCCCAGAGGAATCTGTTCCGACGGTAGGGATTTAAGCCCCAGCAAGGCCCGATGTTGGCAAGGTCCTTCTCCCAGTTCCCAGGGTGGCCACTTATGTGCTTCCTTATGCCTGCTCCCTCCCTGCCCCATCCAGGTATGGAAGTACCCCAAGGTGTGGGAGGGCTTCATCAAGTGCTGTCAACGCACCAAGCCCCAGAGCTTCCAAGTCATCCTGCAGCTGCCACCCCAGCAGCTGGGCGCCGTCTTTGACAAGTGCCCAGAGCTCCGGGAGCCCCTGCTGGCCCATGTCCGCTCCTTCACCCCCCATCAGGTATCCCAAGGTGTCGGGTGGTTGGCCCCATGGGTCCAGCCCTAGGGCCTGGATGGGGAGCCCAGAGGGGAGCCCCGCAGTGCCACAATGTCAAGGGTTCTGGAGGGTCAGAGACCAACCGGGATCTGGGGTGTCCAGGAGGGGTCTCTGGGTTAGAGCTGTCCGTAGCACCCGCGTCCTGCTCTTCCCCAGCAAGCACACATCCCCAACTCCATCATGACCATCCTGGAGGCCAGTGGCAAACAGGAGCCGGAGGCCAAGGAAACTCCTGCAGGGCCTCTGGAAGAGGTGAGGGTCTGCGGCCCCCTGTCCTTCTCCCCAGCCCAGCCACCTGTCTCCTTGGGAGGCTTCTGCTGAAAGGGAGGTGGGAGTGGGGAGCAGCTACTCCCAGTGCCCAGCCGGCTGTCTGCCTCAGGGTGGCTTCTGTCTCCTTTCTCACCGTCCTCTGAAAGTAGCCTGGGTCCTGGCCTCCACTCATCCCTGCCTGAGCTTCTTTCTGCCCCTCCCCACCCCCAGGATGACTTGGAGCCCTTGGCACTGGCACCAGCACCGCCCCCCAATCCCCGGCCCCCTCAGGACCTCATCGGCCTGCGGCTGGCCCAGGAGAAGGCCTTAAAGCGGCAGCTGGAGGAGGAACAGAAGCTGAAACCTGGGGGAGTGGGAGCCCCCTCCTCTTCCTCCTCGTCGACCTCCTCTGCCAGGCCAGGCCCTCCCCAGCCGGAGGAAGCCATGGATTTCCGGGAGGAGGGGCCTGAGTGTGAGACCCCGGCCATCTTCATCAGCATGGACGAGGACTCGGGGCTGACGGAGGCCGCACTGCTGGACTCTAGTCTTGAGGGGCCCCTCCCCAAGGTAGGGATGACAACTTCGGAGCAGCAAAGGAATAAAAGGACCAGGGCTCCGGGCGCAGTGTGTCTGCTGAGTACCCAAAGGGTGACGGGGAGGGTACAGCCCGAACAAAAGTTTGTAGTTAGGAGCAGCTATCTTTGACCGGCTCCCCTTTCTCTTGTCACCAGGACGCAGCAGCTGGTGCGTTGACCTCAAAGGAGGAGAGGAGCCCGCAGACTCTCACCCCTGCTGGAGAAGACACGGTGAAGACTCCCAGCCCCACAACGGCCGCCCCTGCGGAGGAAGCCGGGGAGCCCGAGACCAAGAGGAACAGCTGACGGGGCTTGGTGGGGAAGGGGGGCGGGGGTGCTTTGCCTTTAAAAAATAATAAAAATAATAATAATAAAACATCCCGGATCTGGGGCGTGGGTGTGGTCTCATCTCTGCAGCCAGTCAGCCATGGGACTGCGCGTACCTGGGAGCGGTACCTGGCGAGCTTGCGTGGGAGGGGAGCCCGCAGGCAGACTGGAAGCCCCTCGGGCCTGGGGATGCGCCTGCGCAGAAACCAGCTCTTTGGCCCCTGCGTCGCGGGGCGCGCTCCCAGCCCTGGTAACGGCCCGCCCCTCCCTCCTTGGAAACCGGCGGGAAGGCGGAGTGGCTACTGGCTAAGTGCGGGCCGGCAGCTGGCCGGCCTGTCTGCAAGCCTCCCTCCAAGAAGGCTGCGAACCCTTTTGGACTATGGGGGACCCACCGCCCGACCCTGAGGAACCTTACCAGCAGTTCACAAGACAGAGTTACCGGGCCTTTGAGCAGCAGCGCAGTCAGGAGCCCTCTGTGGCCCAGCCCACGGTCCCCCAGGAGGGGCCGCAGGTGACATTTGACATCCAGAATCTGAGGAGCAATCAAGAGACATTGAGCCAGAGCCATCAGGGATGGTCACAAGGAGCCAGCCAGAGCCAATTTGGTAATTTGTTCCAGGCTGAGGAACCCCAGGGTGGCTTGGAGTACCTGTCTGTTCCCTCGGATTTTCAGCAACAACCTTATCTGGAGGAAGGAGGAGCCCAGCCCACCCACAGTGCCAGCCTAATCCTGCAGCAGCTACAGCAGGGCCAAGGCAACGTCTTCCAGCAACTGGAGTCAGCCTACCAGGATCCTCAGCCTAACTTCCTGGGCCAGTTCAACATGTTCCAGAGAGAAGACCTGGGGTTCAGCGAGGGTGCCCAGCATGGGCCCTACATGAGGGATGACCCTGCCCTCGAGTTCTCACCCTCTGAGCTGGGCTTTATGCCCTTCAATATGGAGGTGTCCGAGCCGGAGCCCCGGGAGCTGGCCGTGCAGAATGCCAAGGCCTACCTGCTGCAGACCAGCGTCAATTGCGACCTCAGTCTGTGAGAGGGAGCTCCGGAGTGGGGGAGGGGAGGACCCAGGCAGGGAGACGCCCCAGCCAAGACCCTGCCTCATGCTATGGGGTCTCAGTCAGACCGGAGATCCACAGTCAAGGAGAATCAGCGAGTGCTCTAGAGCCATCTAACTCAGACTAGGAGTCTGAATAAATACTAGCAATAGCTAAAAAGTAAAACATTTACTTACCAGACATTGTGCCAGCCCTTCACACATTGACCTCTAGTGCTAGCTGAGATGGGCACATCTACTGTCCCTATTTTACAGAGGAGGAAACTGAGACACAGAGAAATTAGGTCCCATATCCAAGATACCACAGCTAGGATGTGGCAGAGCCAGGATTCCAGCACAAGTGATTTGGCTCATGTGGCCTGTTATTTATTAAACTTTCCTGCTGGAGGAAGGCACTTGCCAAGGCCACAGCTGCAATCAAAATATACCTCTCAGCCCTGGCCGGTTTGGCTCAGCTGTTAGAGCGTCCGCCTGCGGTCCGGAGAGACCCGGGTTCGGTTCCCGCTAAGGGCATGTACCTCGGTTGCAGTTTGTCCCTGGCCCTGGTTGGTCGTGTGGGTGGCAGCCACTCGGTGTGTCCCTTTCACATTGATGTTTCACTCTCTCTCCCCCTCCCACTCTGTCTGTACAGAGGATGGAAAAATGTCCTCGGGTGAGGATAAAAAAAAATATATATATATATATATATATATACACCTCTCAGCCCCACTTCCCTATTACCTCTTCATGAAACTCACATTCTAGTGGGAGAATAGACAATCTAACTATAATAAATGATAAGGTGATAAGAGCTAAGGTGAAAAAAGTCAGGGTGAGGGGGATAGGGAGTGCATGTTAAATAGTATAAGGTCAAGGAAGGCCTCTCTGAGGAGGTGACATTTGATCAGTGACCTGAAAATGCTGAGGGAGAGCACCTCACTGCTCCAGCCACACTGACCTCCTCAGTGTTCTGCCAACATACCAAGCACACTGTTGGTTCAAAGCCTTTGCACATCATTCCTAATCATACCATCTGCAGATCATCACAGTTTTGCTTCTTCCTTTTCAATACTTTTCTTTTTTATGTCAGATTGCATTGGCTGAAACCTCCCATACAGTATTAAAGAGAAGTCATGAAAGTAGGCATCCTCATTTCCAATCGCACAGTGAAAAATATTTAGTCTTTTGCCATTATGTTTGGTGTGCACTGTAGGTTATTTGTGGTTACCCTTTATAAGATTATTTAAAAATTGCCTTCGGCCCTGGCCAGTTTGGCTCCGCAGTTGGAGCGTAGGCCTGCAGACCAGAGAGACTAGGATTTGGTTCCCGCTAAGTGCACGTACCTCAGTTGCAGTTTGTCCCTGACCCCGGTTGGTGTTGTGTGGGTGGCAAGCAGTCAATGTGTCTCTCTCACATCAATGTTTCTCTCTCTCTCTCTCCCTCTCGCTTTATCTGAAGATAAATGCAAAAAAACAAAAAACAAAAAAATTGCCTTCTATTCCTAGTTTCCTAGGTGTTTTTTATTGTTGTTTTTTGTTTTTTAATCCTCACCCAAGGATATTTTTACATTTATCTTCAGACAGAGTGGGAGGGAAAGAGAGAGAGAGAAACATCGATGTGAGAGAGACACATCTACTGACCGCCACCCGCATGACCCCAACCAGGGCCGGGGACGAATCGCAACTGAGGTATGTGCCCTTGGCCAGAATCGAATCCGGAACTCTAGTCTGTAGGCTGACATTCTAACCGCTGAGCCAGACCAGCCAGGGTGGTTTCCTAGGTTTTTAAAAATTATGAAGGGTGTTGAATTTTTTTTTTTATCCTCACCCGAGGACATTTTTTCATTTTTTGATCAGATAGAGTGGGAGGGGGAGAGAGAGAAAGAGAGAGAGAGAAACATCGATGTGAAAGGGACACTTTGAGTGGCTGCCACCCACATGACCAACCAGGGCCAGGGGCAAATTGCAACCGAGGTACGTGCCCTTAGCGGGAACCAAACCCAGGTCTCTGGACCGCAGGCCGACGCTCTAACCGCTGAGCCAAACCGGCCAGGGCTGGATGATGAATTTTATCAAATAATTTCTCTGCACCTATTGAGGTGATCTTACATATCATTTTTAACATAATGACATGATAAATTATATTTTTTTCTAACATCAGTCCAGTCTTGCATCCCGGTCAGCCTAATTTAATCATGGTATGTCATCCTTTTGAGCAATTGCAGGATGCCATTTACTAATATTTTGCTTAGGATTTCAGCATCTATATTTCTTTATTTTTATTTTTATTTTTTATCCTCACCCGAGGACACCTTTGCATTTATCTTCAGATAGAGTGGGAGGGAGAGAACCATCAATGTGAGAGAGACACATCAACTGGCTACCACCCACACAACCCCAAATGGGGCGGGGGACGAACTACAACTGAGGTACGTGCCCTTAGTAGGAACCGAACCCAGGACTCTCTGGTCCACAGGCCGACGCTCTAACTGCTGAGCCAAACTGGCCCAGGCTCAACATCTATATTTCTAAATGAGATCAACATACTGTTATTTTCCTTTCTCCTGGTTTCTTTGCGTTTTGGTATCAAGATTGTCATAGACTCACAAAATATCTCAGGGTTTCTGCACCTGCTGTTCCCACTGACTGAAACAGTCTTCTCCCAATATCTGCATAATTTGCCCCCTCACTTCATTCAGATTTTAGCTTAAATGTCACCTTGGTGAGGCATTTCCTGGCCTCCCTACTGAAAAGTGAAAACCATCACCTATTCTTGGCATTCCCTGCTTTATTGTCTCCATAGAAATTACCACCCCTGACTGACACTATATATTTTGCATATTTGGTCAATGTCTGTCTCCATCATCAGAATGTCAGCTCCATGCAGATATTGGGAGAAGACAGGGATCTTGTCTCTTCTCGATTGTGTCCCCAGTGCCAGGCACAGGGCAGACACACAACAGTAAGTGAATGAATGATATCCCCCACCTCCCACTCCCTTGGGAGTCAGGTATGAGCACCTGGTGAACCTGTTGACCAAAATCCTGAACCAGAGACCTGAGGATCCCTTGTCTATCCTGGAGACGCTGAACCGAACCACACAGTTGGAGTGGTTCCACCCCAAGCTGGACACGCTGCGGGACGACCCAGAGATGCAGCCCACCTATGAGATGGCAGAGAGGCAGAAGACGCTGTTCATCCGAGGCAGCGGTGGTGGTGAGGGCGAGCAGGAGATGGAGGAGGAGGTGGTGAGTGAGCCAGTGGTTGGCGTGGCGGGTGAGCGGTAGCCCCGACTTAGACACAGCCTGTGCAGAAGCCTGGAAGTGAGGGGGCATATGGCACCACCCAGGAACACAGACAATCTCAATTTAGTGTGTGTGCCCAGCAGAAGGGGGTGAAACCCTCTCACAGAGGACCTTGAACGTCAGACTAAAGGGCGTAGGCTTTCTCCTGAGGCCACTGGGGTGCCATGGAGGGGCTCGAAGCATAGGAAGGGCTGGTCAGCTCTGCTCTTTATTTATTTTTCTTTATTGATTTTAGAGAGAGAGGAAGGGGAGAAGGAGAGAGAGAGAGAGAGATCGATTGGCTGCCTCCTGTATGCCCTCCACTGGGGATCCAGCCCACTACCTGGGCATGTGCCTGGACCGGGAATCGAACCGGCGACCTCTTGGTGCATGGGCTGATGCTCAACCACTGAGCCGCACCGGCCGGGCCATTTCTGTTCTTTAAGCCAGCAAGTCTGTGGTACTTTCTTACAGCAGTCCTAACAAAGTAATATGCCATCTTTTCATAATTTATGTAACTGTTTAAATAATATTTCAGTTCATTTGAAACAAGAGACAAATAATCTTTAGTGCATCTAACAAAAATTAACAATTGAATGTATTAGCTGTAGAATTCTCACCTTCTTCAAGAAAAATGGCCAAGCCCTGGATGGGTAGATCAGTTGGTTGGAGCATCATCCCATACATTGACAAGTGGTGGGTTCAATTCCCGCTCAGATCCCCAGTCGGGGTACATACAGGAGGCAACCAACCAATGTTTCTCTCTCACAGTGATGTTTCTCTCTCTCTCTTCCTCTCTGTCTAAAAAAACAATAAAAGCATATCCTCATGTGAGGATTTAAAAAAGAAAGAAAAAAGAAAAATGGCCAATGACTCAGACGACCATCATACAAAGGAGCAGGAGAAAATGTGTTCTCCCTGAGACTTTTTCTTACATTGAGCTTTCAAATGCTTGGTGGGGCTTCCTGTACTTTCCAGAAGCTGCCCACAGTCCTTAAATGAGAAAGTTGTCTCTTCGATCTGATTTTCACCTCCTGAATTAAGGAGGGTTTTATGTCTTTGTTATATGTTTTCCTGAACCACGAGCAAGACTTTTCCCCCGAGCTAAGTGAGAAGGAACAAATGGGTATATGAGCCAAGACTATTTGGTTTGCAGTGACAGATATCCAGTAGAGCTTGCGGAAATAAAGGGGAGGGGTAGGATTTATCATAAAGAAATCAGGCATTTGCCCTGGCCAGTACGGCTCAGCGGTAAGAGCGTTGCCCGCAGACCAAAGAGTCCCGGCTTGGATTCCGGCCAAGGGCAGGTGCCTCGGTGGCAGTTGGTCCCTGGCCCCTGTTGGGGTCGTGTGGGTGGCAACCACTCGATGTGTGTCTCTCACATTGATGTTTCTCTTTCTCTCTCTTCCTCCATCTCTATCTGAAGATTAATGTAAAAATATCCTCGGGTAAGGATCAAAAAAAAGCAAAGAAAAGAAAAGATCAGCCCTGGCCGGTTTGGCTCATTGGTTAGAGCGTCAGCTTGCGGACCAGAGAGCCCTGGGTTCGGTTCCAACTAAGGGCACGTATGTCGGTTGCAGTTTCTCCCCGGTCCCAGTTGGGGTCGTGTGAGTGGCAGCCAGTCGATGTGTCTCTCTCACATCGATGTTTCTCTCTCGCTCTCTTCTCCCCTTTCTCCCTCCTGCTCTGTCTGAAGATAAATGCAAAAATGTCCTCAGGTGAGGAAAAAAAGAAAGAAAGAAAGAAAGAAAGAAAGAAAGAAAGAAAGAAAGGAAATCAGGCATTTACCTTAGCTGGACTGTAGGAATAGCTCTGGTCCTTAGTTTTTTCCTTTCTCTCTGCAAACTGGCCTCCATCGTCCCTCCACGCACCATCAGCCACTGCACGCTTACACATTTGCACATTTACACATTTCACCTCCAGCCACACGGAGCAGGTGCCCCCCCCCCAGTTAGCTCCCTGCTGCAACTGGAACGAATCACCACAAGCTTAGTGGCTTAAGACAACTTAATGTACTTGCAGTTCTGGAGGTCAGAAGTTTTTTCTTTTCTTTTTTTTTTAATCCTCATCCGAGGACACCTTTTCATTTTTTGTTCAGATAGAGTTGGAGGGAGAGAGAGAGAGAGAAACATCGACGTGAAAGGGACACATCGAGTGGCTGCCACCCGCGCGACCAACCAGGGCCGGGGACAAACTGCAACCCAGGTACATGCCCCTAGCGGGAACCGAACCCGGGTCTCTCGGGACCGCAGGCCGATGCTCCAACCGCTGAGCCAAACCGGCCGGGGCTGGAGGTCAGAAGTTGAAATTGGGCTTCACCGCGCTAAAATCACGGTGAAGGCAAAGGCTGTCTTCCTAATGGAGGTTCTGGGAGAATCTGCTTCCTTGACTTTCCCAGTGTCTGGAAGCCGCCTGCTTTCCTTCCTTCCTCCGTCCTCAAAGCCAGCAGGGGAGCAGCTTCAAACCTTTCTCTGACCCTGACCTCAGCTTCTGCCATCACATCTTCTCAGACTCTCCTGCCTCCTTTCACTTATCAAGACCCTCATGCCCAGCTGGTGTGGCTCAGTGGTTGAGCGTTGACGCAGGCACCAAGAGGTCGCCAGTTCGATTCCTGGTCAGGGCACATGCCCAGGTTGTAGGCCTGATCCCCAGTGGGGGGCATGCAGGAGGCGGCCAATCGATGTTTCTATCTCTGTCTCCCTCTCCCTCTAAAAGCACTAAAGAAAAAGAAAAGAATGTGGGAGCTCTAAATGTATGTACAAATGGATTTCCATCGTACGCTGCTAAGGGGTTGAAAATCTGGGCACAAAACAGAGTGACTAGTATACCACCATGTATGTGATTAAATGTACACATAAGTAGAATATGCTTGATTATGTACACATTTCTGGGAGGTGGCTGCGGGTGACTTTGGTGGCTCCCCCTCTGACCTCCGACCTACGTCCCCACTCACCCCCTGCCCTAGCCGCAGAGGCGAGGCTGCCTCACCATTGCTGGAACCCAGGGGGCATTTTCTAGCCTCGGGCCTTTGCACTCACCCTGCCTCAGGCCTAAAGCTCTTTCTGCAAATATCCACACTTCCTCACTTCACTCAAATCTCTCATCAAATATTAATCTCCTCAGAGAGGCCTTCCTAAACCCAACCTAATACAGCACGTGCCTTCCCATGACATCTACCCCTCTTCCTTGCTTCGTTTTCCCGTTAGTACTTATCACTGCCCAACACAAAATAGATTTTGCTTTCTTGTCTTGTTTATTATCTGTCTCCCATCAGAAAAAACTCAACTTCATAAGGGAAGTAGAGATGGGTCTCTTTTTAAACAGTTGTATTCACAGTGCCTGGCAAGTAGCAGACAGTCAGTAAATATTTTTAAGGAACAAAGAAAAGAAGGAAGACAGGCAGGCAGACGGGGATGGGAAACAATGTACTCTTCACCATATTCGCTTTTATACCATCTGAATTTTTCTGCCATGTGCGTTATTACTGACAAAAATGGGATTAAATTGAAAATTAATAATAGCCTGGCTGATGTGGCTCAGTGGTTGACCATCAACCCATACACCAAGAGGTCACTGGTTCAATTCCCGGTCAGGGCACATGCCCAGGTTGTGGGCCAAATCCCCAGTGGGGGGCATGCAAGAGGCAGCCAATCGATGTTCTCTCTCATCAATGTTTCTCTCTCTCTCTCTCTCTCCATCTCCCTTCCTCTCTCTCTCAAATCAATAAAGAAAATTTTTAAAAAAAAATCAATAATAACGAGGAATCTAAAAATGCCCCAATATTTGGAAATGAGACAACACACGTCTAAGCAACATATGGGTCAAAGAAGAGACCACAAGCGAGACCAGAAAGTATACAGAACTGAATGACATGAAGAGATAGCGTGTCAGGTTTTATGGGAAATATCTAATGTACTGTCTAAAAGGAAAGTTATATTTCAATGCTTATAAAAAAAAAGATTTAAAAGCAATAATCTGAGATTCTATCTTTTTTACAAAGGAGAACATTAAACCCAAAGTAAACAGACAGAAGGAAATAATAAGGACAAGAGCAAAAACCGCCCTGGCCAGTTTGGCTCAGCAGTTAGAGCATCAGCCTGTGGATCGACGGGTCTCAGGTCTGATTCCTGGTCAAGGGCAGGTACTTGGGTTGCAGGTTTGATCCCCGGCCCCAGTCGAGTTTGTGTGAGAAATAATCAATCGATGTCTCTCTCTCTCCCCCCTCTCCCTTCACTCTCTTGCAAAATCAATAGAAAAATATCCTCAAGTGAGAATGAACAATAAATAAAGAAAATAAAAAGAATAAAGAAAATCTAGAAATGAAAAAGAAGATATCACTACACATCCTACAAATATTAAAAAGATGCCAAAGGAATATTATAAACAAGTTTATACCAATAAATTCAGCAACTTACATGAAATGACATGTACCTTAAAATACATAATATGTAAAAACTGACACAAAAAGAAATAGAAAATCTGAACAGTCCTATAATTACTAAGAAATCTGTTATTGAATCTGTTATTGAAAACTACAGCTAAACAGACATTTATGTCAAATATTTAAGGAAAAATTAATTTCAATTTTATACAAAATCTTACAGAAAGTAGAGGATGAGGGAACACTTTCCCAACAGTTTTATGAGGTCAGCAAAACCATGATATGAAAACCTGGCAAAATGTGCCCAAGTTGGCTCCATGGTTGAACACTGACCCATACACCAAGAGGTTGTCGGTTTGATTCCTGGTCAGGGCACATGCCCAGGTTGTGGGCCAAATCCCCAGTCAGGGGCATACAGGAGGCGGCTGATCAATGTTCTTTCTCATCGATGTTTCTATCTTCTCTCCTTCTCCCTTCCTCTCTCTAAAATCAATCAAGAAAAGAAATTTTAAAAAAAAAAGAAAGACCCTCGTGATTTCCTGGGGCCAATAGCCCAGGGCAATGTCCCCATCTCAAGAGCCTCAATGTCACCAAACCTGCAAGTTCCTTCTGCCAAGTAAGGTCACATGTTCACAGGCACTAGTATTAGGACATGGACTCTTTCGGTGCGGTCACTATTCTGCCTACCATACCCCCTTTCTCTCCATTCTGATTTCAAATTCCGGCAAAGGAGCATGTGGTCTCCCTGATTTGGACTGTGCGTTTCCCTGGCCCCGTCAGGCTGGCCAAGGCCACGGGCAGATCGTGATGACCTCATGAGGAAGGACCTCACCTGTTTTTTTTAATCCTCACCCAAGGACATTTTTCCATTTTTTGTTCAGACAGCGTGGAAGGAAGAGAGAGAGAGAGAGAGAAACATCAACGTGAAAGGGACACATCGAGTGGCTGCCACCTGCACAACCAACCAGGCCTAGGGACAAACTGCAACCGAGGTACGTGCCCTCAGCAGGAACTGAAACCGGGTCTCTCTGGACCGCAGGCCGACGCTCTAACCGCTGAACCAAACCGGCCAGGGCCCTCATCCGTTTTGTTCTCTGATATGTGTCTGTGCCTACACTAGCCTGGGACTGGTACCCAGTGGATCTTTAATAACGATTTCTGGACTGAATGAATGAAAAAGTATTGGAACAGCCTTGTGGCCACATGGATATGGGCATAGCTGGGCCAAAACCTCCCTGTATTCTGGTCCCAGCCCTTGACATACTTATTCTCACTCCCTTTCTGCTCTTTCTCTCTCTCTGACTTCCTGAAAAAGTAGCCGTGATAGAGGAGGCAGTGAGGGAAGAATTTATCACCACCATCCTCCAACATCAACATCACTGATTCCTGGGTTCAAGACCTTCCTCTTCCCTTCATGTGCTATGTGATTTGGGATCTCTCTTACGAGTGCATTTGGTTGCAGCTAACAGAACACAGGACTAGAAGTGGGGAGGTAAGGCGGCTCAGTGACACCACTGAGGACCAGACAGTTTCCACCTGTCAGTTCCACCACCATTAGGGTGAAAGACATGTGCTGCCTCATGGTCCCAAGTTAGCTGCTGTAACTCCAGATCTCACATCCCACTCCAGGAAGGAACAAGAGGGAAGGATGAAGAAACAAAGGATTTTCTCTTAGTGTGATTTTGCCTTTTCTTTTCTATCAAGGGACATCCTCCCCAAGGACTTTCCCTGCTTCTAACTGCCAGAAGGGCCGCAGGAGCAGCTGGGTTACCCAGTAGTTTGGCTCTCTGGCCTCTAGAAGAGTTGGCTAGGGAGCAGGGCTTCAGCCTTCTCCCTCTGTCTGCCCTCCCTCCTCCCCCCCCCCTCTGCAGGGAGACACAGCCGTGCCCAACGTCATGGAGTCGGCCTTCTACTTCGAACAGGCTGGCGTGGGCCTGAGCTCAGACGAGAGTTTCCGCATCTTCCTGGCTCTGAAGCAGCTGGTGGAACAGCAGCCCGTCCATACCTGCCGTTTCTGGGGCAAAATCCTGGGGCTCAGCCGCAGCTACCTGGTGGCCGAGGTGGAATTCCGGGAGGGCGAGGAGGAGGTGGAGGAGGAGGAGGTGGAGGAGCTGACCGAGGGCGCCGAGATCACAGACACGCATGGCGAGGAGGAGGGGGAGGAGGACGAGGAGAAGGCCGCGGACATCCTCCCCAAGCGGATGTGGAAGCCACCTCCCGTCATCCCCAAAGAGGAGAGCCGATCAGGCACCAACAAGTACCTGTATTTCGTGTGCAACGAGCCCGGCCGGCCATGGATAAGGCTGCCGCATGTCACGCCCAACCAGATCGTGGTGGCCCGCAAGATCAAGAAGTTCCTCACTGGCCACCTGGATGCACCGGTCATCAGCTACCCGCCCTTCCCAGGCAACGAGGCCAACTACCTGCGCGCCCAGATCGCCCGCATCTCGGCTGCCACGCACATCAGCCCGCTGGGCTTCTACCAGTTCAATGAGGAGGAGGGTGATGAGGAAGAGGAGGGTGGCCCAGGGCGCGACTCTTTTGAGGAGAACCCCGACTTTGAGGGCATCCCGGTGCTTGAGCTGGTGGACTCCATGGCCAACTGGGTGCATCACATGCAACACATCCTTCCACAGGTGAGACCAGGGACCCCACCCCACCCGGCTCAGAACCAGGTGGCTCAGGTGTGACTCCCCAATAATGTTGAGCACTTGCTCTCTGCTAGCCATTGTGCTGAACCTTCACTCATTCATTCACCCATTCATCCATTCCTCACTCATTCATTCACTCACTTATCCATTCTTCACTCATTCATTCACTCGTTTATCCATTCCTCCTTCAAAAGACATTGGTTGATATTCCCTTGTCAGAATCCTGTGGGCCAGTTGCATTGTGGAATTCTGTATTTTTCAGATTTTAAAAAGGTAACAGTGCATATCCCATGTAGTATGCAAGACCTCAAGTAGGGCTGGGCTATCAGGCATATTCAAAGACACCATTGTTCTTTTTTTTTTTTATCCTCACCCGAGGACACTTTTTCATTCTTTGTTCAGATAGAGCAGGAGGGAGAGAGAGAGAGAGAAACATCGATGTGAAAGGGACACATCGAGTGGCTGCCACCCGCACGACCAACCAGGGCCGGCGACAAACTGCAACCGAAGTACGTGCCCTTAGTGGGAACCGAACCTGGGTCTCTCCGGACCGCAGGCCGACGCTTTAACCGCTGAGCCAAACCGGCCAGGGCGACACCATTGTTCTTTCTGCTGCAAGACTGCAGCGGCTCCCTTCAGCCAGGTCAGGAATGCTGCCAAATGACTCAAGAAAAACTTCTGATTTTCAGGTTGTGCAGTGTGGATAAGAGATTTTGGACTTGCATTTATCGAATGCCCATGAGTCTGAACTTTATACACATTTATTTATTCAGTCAGGGAACCACTGGCTGTGTGCTAAGATTCATTCATTCATGCATTCGATAAATTACTGACTCCACAAGGTTTTATTGAATCCGAATAACTCCTTTGAGGTCTGGACAGCTCTCATAGTTGACGAAACTGAAGTCTGCAACATACTGTGCACTCAGGGTCAGTCATTCCTTCAACAGACACCCATCAGCTCTTCAGTATCTCACATAATCCAACAACAACCCGATGAGAGAGGCAGCCATGACACCCCCATTTCACAGTTGGGCCAACAGAGGAGTATATGGGCTGCCAGACGTCAGTTCCACAGGGCAGACACTTGGGGTCTCTTTCCTTAAGGATGTATCCCCCGCACCTAGCGCAGAATCTGTATATAGTAGGTGCACATTAAATGTCTGAGAAATGAATGAATGGATGCACAGATGGGGGCCACACTGCAAGCAGGAGGCAGGAGTTCCTACCTCAATGCAACAGCTCTCTCAGCCCATTCTCTGCCCCCAACCTGTGTGACTAACCCTGCCCTCCTGCCCATACGTTGGCCCCCGAAGACAGTCCCCAGTGTCCTGCCTGGCCCTTCACCTCCTCCCAGGGTGCAGGGTGGCCTCTGTCCTCTGGGGGGTGGGGGGATGTGATGCCTGATGTGATGCCTGACCCCCCCCTCCAGGGCCGCTGCACTTGGGTGAACCCTTTTCAGAAGAAGGAGGAGGAGGAGGAGCTGGGGGAGGAGGAAGAGAAAGCAGATGAGGGGATGGAGGAGATGGAGCAGGAGATTGGGCCCCCGCTGCTGACGCCGCTCTCAGAAGATGCAGGTAAAGGTCCTCCTCGCCTTTGACCACCAGCCTGGAGGGGGGACGAGACAGAGAAGGGCAACATCGCGGGGTCATCTCTCCAAGCCTCGGTTGTTTTCTCACCTGTACACCAGCCATGGTGGAAGTGCCTCCTCACGGGGTCACGGCGAAGCAGCCGCCTGGTGAGCTGCGTCTGGCACGTGGCAGTGCCCACCTGGCAGGATGTGGTCTTTTCCAGTCCCACACAGGCTTGGGGAAGGAGAGAAATAGGGAGCCCTCCCCAGAAGAGGCAGGACTTGAGCTGGATTTTGAAAGAAGGGACAGGCATTTCCTGAGGTTGGGGGGCTCCGGCCCCTGGAAGAAGCAGGAAGGAGAGGCTGAGAGTGGGCGAGTGGACAGAGCCTGTATTGTGACCCAGATTTTGGTGAGCCCCAAGCCCGAGCCCATGCCCTCTGCCCCCTGGTCCAAACCAGTGGCCACTGGAGGGAGAATCACAGCAGCTGCCCTGTCTGGGGCCCAGGGCTCACCGCCACCCTGCAAGGGAGGCGAGGTTAGTATTGCCCTTCCTGGGTGTGGGCACTGAGGCCCAGGCAGGTGACATGGCTTCCTGGGGACACGCAGGAAGAGGGGGGTCCAGAGCCAGGGTTCAAACACTGAAGCCTGTGCTGTCAGTCACCACAGTTCCCTTCACACCCCTCCTCACTTTCCCGCTTTCCCTCCTCCCTTCCCTCCCTCCAGGGGGCTGCTCAGGGCGCATGGAGTCATCGGTGGAGGCTCTGACCTCCCTGGTGCTCTTCACGTCTCCGCAGAAATCATGCACATGTCGCCCTGGACCGCCCGTCTGTCCTGCAGCCTCTGCCCCCAGTACTCCGTGGCCATCGTGCGCTCCAACCTCTGGCCGGGGGCCTATACCTACGCCAGTGGCAAGTAGGTCTTCTGGTCTCCCAGCAGAGGAGCCCCTACATCAGGCCCGCGGGGGCAACTCACCAGGGTGGGCAGAGATGAGGTGGGAAGCCATCCTTCAGGAAGCCCCCAGGGCTGAGCCCCTCACTCTTCTTCCAGGGGTTCCACTTGGCCTAAACGAGAAACTCCAGACCAAGAGTGTGAGTCCCTTGAATAAGAGAACAGGGGATCAGAGAGGGGAAGGAACGGACCCTGTGTAACACAGCATGTGCAGGATTCAAACCTGGATCTCTGGCCCTCTGGCTCAGGCTTTTCTACTGTATGGGTCACAGAACCGACAGGACTCAGGAGTCCCCTTTGGGGAGGCCCTGACAGGGGCAGAGTCTCCTCTCTGAGGGCGCTAACTACTTCCCCAGGGGCCCCCAGATGAGTTCTTCCAATTTGAAGGGTCTTCTCTCTTTGGGCCAGAAATCTTCCCCACCAGTTGCTCTCAAAAGATTTGCAGGATGAAATAGCTTTCGCATCTTCCCACCCGCAGCTACACACTCCCCACCAGACTCGGCCCCTCTCACCAGGCACACCCCAGCCTTTCTGCTCAACCACGAGAAAGGCGCCGCGGCAGCCGCAGGGCGGGTGTACTTCCCAGCTCTGTCCACCAGATGGCAGGCCGATTTTTCATAGATTTTCCTTTTCGCTACTATGATTCACAGTCGAGATGGGATTTCATGTCATCTTGATATTTTAACCACATATTTGGCAATTATTTTTTTTCTCCTTCAGAAGCAGGGAAGAGGCACGCCAGCTTTTGCCAACACCCTTCTTCTGGCCACACCCTAATTTGCCAACATCCCTGAAAGCAAAAGATCCAAATTGGAAGTTCCTCTCATCCATCCACCCTCCACCCCATACCCACCCATACTTCACCCAGTCGTCCATCCGACACCCAATCGTTCATCCATCCATTCATCTATCCTTTTGTTTTTCATGATAAAACACTTGAATGTCACTGTTTGCCAGCTGTGTGCTGGACCCCGGGCCCTTTTTTGAAAGGCAGACATGGATGCTGTCCTGGGAGCAGTCAGAGGAAGCTAGGCATTAACTGTATAACACCTCTCACCCACGCCTCACTCCCCCGGCCCCGCCTCCAAATATCCTGTTACAAACTAAGATAAGTACCACTAAGGAGGATGGAGGGGAAAATGACAACTTATATCTGTCATGTCTGAAAGGGATCAAGGAAGGATTCCTGAGAAAAGCAACCTTGATCTGAAATGTCTGGGGACAGAAAGAAGTAAGGGGTGGGAGGGGGGCACTTGAAGGACATTCTAGGCTAGAACTTCTCAAACTCTGAGTGCTAAGACTCACGGGGGAGGGGGGTGGATCTAGCTGAAGCACAAGTTCCGGTTGCATGGGTCTGGGATGGAGCCCCAGGCTCTGCCTTCCTAACAAGCTCAGACTCTGGAACAGCAAGGTCAAAGCCAAACTGCTCCCGTGGCAAACTCTCCATCCCTGTCTCTCCTGCTGTCTCTCTTTCTAGCCCTACTTGTCTCTGTCCCTCACCCAGTATCTCAGTCCCCTGCCTGTTCTCCCATTTTCTCCCCTTTTCTTCACTAGGTAAAATTCTGGGGAGGAGGGTACTGGCCAGGACTGATCGATTCTCCTTGTTTATTATCAGTCTGCTCCCTCTAGCGCGGAGGCACCGCGGCAGGGATTCTTGTCAGTTTGTTCCCTGCCAGCTGGGTCCCCACATCCAGACCCTTGCTGTCCAACATAATAAGATAGGAGCCACATAGGTCACTTAAAATTTTCCTGCCATATTCACAAAGTAAAAATAAACAGGCAAAATTCATTTTAATATCTTTTATTTAATCCCAAATATCCAAAATATTAGTATTACAACATAAAATCAATAATATAAAAATGATGAACGAACTATTTTACATTCTCTCCTTTCATACTAAGTCTTTGGAACCTGGTGTGAAGTTTACATTTACAGTACATTTCATTTTGGACCTAAACTTTCATCGTAAATATTTTATCTGTATTTATGTTTCACATTTACAATTGCAAAAGTAGACTCATGCTCCCAAGTTGTCTCAGTCATACTTAGTTGTTTCCAATACTGAATTGAGTATTGGCTTTATTGTTTAAACGTAAATGAATTAAAATTAAATGAAAATCCACTCCACCCAACAACAGCAAAATACATATTCTTCCCAGGTGTACATGGAACATTCTCCAGGGCAGACCGCATGCTAGGTCATAAAACAAGTCTTAACAGACTTAAAAGGACTGATCATACGGAACACATTTTCTGACCACATTGGAATGACATTAGCAACCAGTAACAAAAGGAAATTCACACACATGGAGACACTAAATAACACATTCCTAAGTAACCAGTGGGCCAAAGAAGAAATCACAAATGAAATTAGAAAAGCAACTACAATGAGAAATTCAGTGTTTTGCGTGCACCAGCCACATTGCAGGTGCTCAGTAGCTACACGTGCTGTTGGACATTGCAGCTCTGGACACGGCCTAGCACTTAGCAGGTGCACAGTAAATACTAAAGGAACAAATGAACAGGACAACCCGGTGGGCACACTTCACCCTACCACACACTACCTTTCCATCATGCTATGTCTGTGCTGACTCCCAACCTTAATGAAAGTCCAGGCTGGGGCCTTGGCAGGAGGATTTTCCAGTATCTCACTGCCCCTCCAGGAAGTTTGAGAACATCTACATTGGCTGGGGCCACAAGTACAGTTCGGAGAACTTCAATCCGCCCCTGCCAGCCCCCATTCAGCACGAATACCCCAGCGGCATAGAGATCACAGAGATGAACGACCCAACGGTGGAGGAGGAGCAGGCTCTTAAGGCTGCCCAGGAGCAGGCCCTGGCAGCTGCGGAGGAAGAGGAGGAGGATGAGGAGGAAGATGAAGATGAGGACCTGGATGACTGAGGCCCCATAGCCCCCTCCCCTAAGCAGGCAGAGAGCAGGTTGTTCCTTATATATAGTTACGAGTTGTTTTTTCACTGTCGGTTTGCTTTCTGCCCTGGAAGGCAGGAATGGGAAAGGGCAGTAGCTGCTCTAAATAAAATGTTTCCATGGCATTACGGCCCCATCATTTATTCATTTGCTCACCAATCTGTTGACATGACCTCCACGTCAGGGCTATTGGACTCTGCTGGGAACACCCGCTTAGCCTCTCCCATCTGTTTCATTTATTCATTCATCTGGATATCAAACAACCATTAAAATGCCTCCTGTCAGCCCAGCCCTGTGCTGGGAACACAGAGATGACCAAGCAGCCTTAGCTCTGCTTTCATGGGGCTCATACTCTACAGGGGAGACAGAGGCATCCCCAGGCAACGACAATCCAGATGGAATAGCCCAGAGGACTACAGAGCCCCTGAACTGACTCTTAAGGGTCAAGAGCAGCCCTGGCTGGGTAGCTTAGTTACTTAGAGCTTTGTCCTGATATGCCAAGGTTGTGGGTTTGAGCCCCAATCAGGGCACATACAAGAATCAATGAATGAATGAATAAATATATAAGGGGAACAGCCCTGGCCGATTTGGCTCAGCGATTAGAGCCCACAGATGGAAAGTTCTCAGGTTCAGTTCTGCTCAAGGGTACATACCTGAGTTGCAGGTTCTATCACTGGCCCCTGTTGGGGTCCTATGGGGGCAACCACTTGATGTATGTCTCTCACATTGATCTCTCTCTCTCTCCCTTCCCCCCTCTCACTCTATCTGAAAATCAATGGAAAGTCCAGCCGGTGTGGCTCAGTGGTTGAGCATCAACCCATGCACCAAGAGGTCGCCGGTTTGTTTCCCAGTCAGGGCACATGCCCAGGTTGTGGGTCCAATCCCCAGTGGGGGGCATTCAGGAGGTGGCCAATCAATGTTCTTTCTCATCGATATTTCTCTCTCTCTATCCCTTTCCCTTCCTCTCCCTCTAAAATCAATAAAGAAAAAAAGTCAATGGAAAAATATCCTCAGGTGAGGATTTAAAAATAGTAATGATAAAAAATAATAAGTGGAACAACAAATCTTTCTCTCCCCCTTCTTCTCTGAAAATCCATTTAAAAAGTAAAAGGGTCAAAAAGATAAAAAGTAAAAGTGTTGCCCAGCCGGTGTGGCTCAGTAGATTGAGCGTCAGCCCATGGACTGAGAGGTCCGGGTTCGATTCCAAGTCAGGGTACATGCCCTGGTTGCAGGCTCAATCCCCAGCAGGGGGTGTGCAGGAGGCAGCCAATAGATGTAGCTCTCACATTGATATTTCTATCTCTCTCTCTCTAAAAAAAATCAATAAAAACATATAAAATATTTTTAAAAAGTAAAAGGGTCAAGGACAGAGTGGGGAAGGGCATTCCAAGCAGATGGAACAGCATGTGCAAAGACCCAAGCGCAAGAGAGAATGTGATGTGCTGGGGTAGTTTCTCAAACTTCATTTTTGAGGGACATGGTGTGAGGAGTTAATGGTGAGAGGTGAGATTGGAAAGAAGTTGGCAGGAACAGATCACTCAGGGCTTAACTTTGCCCTCAGAGCACTAGCAAGCCACAGATGGACTTTCAGCAGGGGAGGGCCTGATCATATTTGTGCTTTAGACATACCTCTCTAGATGCCGAGTGGAGTGTAGATAGAACAGTGAAACAGGAGTCTGGGAAAGCAGAGACAAGGTTGGTTCAGGGGGCCCCGAGCAGGAGAGGAGGAGGAGGTTGGACCATAGCTGTGCAGAGGAAGAGGCTGAAAACAGGACTTAAGGTGACAAAATGCAAATAGGAAGCAGGGAGTGAAGGGAAATTGTACAAATCTAGGCAGACGCTCAGGTCTGCAGCCTGAGTGACGGGAGAGAGGGGGGATGGGAGCGCTGGCCCTAAGAATGGGACACAGGAGAGGGGTAGGATATGGAGCAAGATGTCAAGTTAGTTCATTGTAGGACTTGCTGAGTGTAAGTGAGGTGACTCTGGAATATCTGGCGACAAATCTGGGAGGCCTCTGAATAAGTGAGCCTAGGAAGATTTGTCATGGGGCAGAGTGACTTCCGCAGAAGTCAGGGGTACTGGCTCCCTATGGGACTGTTAGGATCAGGAAGAGAGTTTGGGTTACTGGCCGGTCATTGGAACACTGGGGAGGTTGTGGGGACCAGTGAAATATTGGAATCAAAGGTTGGCATTGGAGCACCTAGTGAGATTGTTGAAGACAGTGAAGTCATGGATACACATACTAGAGGTTGGTGAAAGTGTGGAGGGGTTGGGGTTATCATTAATTACTAGTGGGCCAGATGCAGTCCTTGGAGTTTTATGGAGACATCTGGACCAGTGAGGTTTGGGGGATCATCAGTGGTGGGGAGGAATGGCTGGAGGTGCTGTGGCCAGCTGGGGAGATTAAGATGTCAGTGGGAAACACTGGAAGTCAGGGGGATGTATGTTGGGAATCTGTGGGGTCATCTGTGAGTCACGGGGAGGCCAGGATAGGAAAGACGCCTGCTCTGGAGGGTTTCTCTGTTGCTAGGCAAACGGTTCCCAGGTCGCCGTTGCTAGGAACTTGTGCTTTTTAATGCCACGCCCCTTTCCTCTGTGGGCCCCGCCCCCGCAGCCAACCACACAACGGTCTCAGGCAGGAAGGCCGCGCCTACCTTTTCGCCCCGCCCACACCCCCCAGAACCGTTACCCGAGCGACGGCTGGGGTCGTCCCTCCTCCCGACCCTGTTGCCAATCGAAGAAACGTCTCCCGGGCGACGACCCCACCTCTTCCGGTGCGGGTCCGTAGCTTCCGGCAGGGGGCCCGGCGGCGGGCGGCGGTCCGGCAGCGGCGGGCCCGGGGTGGGGGGCGCCCAAGATGGCGGCGGGCGGCGCGGAGGGCGGCTCGGGCCCCGGCGCCTCCATGGGGGACTGCGCGGAGATTAAGTCGCAGTTCCGCACCCGCGAGGGCTTCTACAAGCTGCTCCCCGGAGACGGCGCCGCTCGCAGATCGGGTCCGGCGTCCGCCCAGACCCCGGCGCCGCCTCAGCCGCCGCAGCCCCCGCCGGGCCCTGCTTCCGCCTCCGGCCCCGGCGCCGCGGGGTCCGCGTCGTCTCCGCCACCCGCAGGCCCAGGGCCGGGGCCCGCGCTGCCCGCCGTGCGCCTCAGCCTCGTGCGTCTCGGGGAGCCGGACAACGCAGGAGCCGGGGAGCCTCCTGCCACGCCCGCGGGTCTGGGGGCCGGAGGAGACCGCGTCTGCTTCAACTTGGGCCGCGAGCTTTATTTCTACCCCGGCTGCTGCCGCCGCGGGAGCCAACGGGTGAGCGGCCTGCATCGCGGGAAACCGGGTGTTGAGAGGATGGGGTTCCCTAGGTGATCCGTAAGTGGAGGAAGGCCTGAACTGATCTGGGGCCCCGAGATAGGCATCCTAGATGTGATGGACATCCCAGGAGAAAAGGATTCTTTTTTTTTTTTTTAATTTGGATAGAGCAGGAGGGAAAAAGGGAGGATGAGAGAGAGAGAAACATCCATGTGAGAAGGACACATCTACTGGTTGCCACCCACACAACCCCAACTGGGACCGGGGACAAACTGCAACCAAGATACCTGCCCTTAGCGGAACCCGAACCTGGGACTGACTCTCTGGTCCGCGGGCCGACACTCTGACCGCTGAGCCAAACCGGCCAGGGCGAGAAAAGGGTTCTTGGAGGTAATGCCTAATTCCAATTCCAAAAGGTGATGGAAGGCCCCCTAGTGCTGGACATCCTGGAGGTGATGAGAAACTTTGGGGTCCTGTGGGACCCCCGGGTTATGTGTGGGGGTTCTGGGATGTTGAGTATTCTAGACCTGATGGAGAATCGGAGGTGATGTAGATCCTCCTGGGTTCTGGGGGGCAGGCATCCTGCAGGTGATGGGGCATCCTGAGGTGATGCAGAACCCAGGGATATTGCAGTATGTGGAGGTGTTAGGAGGGGGTGTTGAGACTTGGGCAGCCAAAGATCAGAATTTTGGAAATGATGGGGGCTTAGAGGTAATGGGGAGCCCAGAGAAAATTATGGTTCTGGAGGTAATGAGGATCCTGGAGGAAATGAGAATCTCTGGGCTTATGTGAGATCTGGAGGTGATGAGAAAGTCCAGAGGGGACATCCTCAGGCGTGATGGGTGTCTGTACAGTGGTCTAGGTGCCAGAAGGGATGAGACCCCTGGAGTTTACCGTGGTCATCGGAAGTGATGGGGATCCTGAGAGCCCAGAGGGGGTGAAGGTACCTCAGTGTGGGGGACCATCAGGTATAATGGGTCCCTGAACTGTTTGGGGGATCCTGAGATTTAGAGACTCCAAAGTAAAGGAACTCCTGAGATGGTAGAAGCCTGGGGATTTGGATGACCCTGAGTTTGGGAAGGGGGGTCTTGGAATATTTTGGTGCTAAGACCCAGGGAAGTTGGCTCAGGTTACGGGGCAGGACTGGAAAAGAATCAGAGCTCAGGGACTATGGGAACCCCGAACCCTGATGCTGTAAGTGAGGGTGTCCCTGAAGTTGGAGGGGTCCAACTTTGGGAAGGCACTGTGGTCTTATGCCAGGGTCAGGGGTGGGATCCTTTCTTTCTGTTTTTTTCCTTCTGTGTCTGAGATTTGGGTCCCTCTTCTTGTCTGTGGTTGCTCCCTCCCTCCCACTCACCCATTTATCTACCCACTTCCCTCAGGGGTTTGACCTGCTTCCTCTTGGTGGTTTCCCCCAACCTCAACATCCTCTTTCTTTCTCAGTGTTAGAAGCCATTAACTCCTTTTCTCCCATCACTTAAGTCTATTGACCTCAACAAGCCAATTGACAAGCGGATTTATAAGGGCACCCAGCCCACCTGCCACGACTTCAACCAGTTCACTGCTGCCACAGAGACCATCTCCCTGCTGGTGGGGTTCTCAGCTGGCCAGGTGCAGTACCTGGATCTCATCAAGAAGGATACCAGCAAGCTGTTCAATGAAGAGGTGATTGTGG